CATAAAATAATTATCCTTCAAATACAGATAAGATCAGTATACAGTGGTACCTCAGGTTACATACGCTTCAGGTTACAGACTCCGCTAACCCAGAAATAGTACCTGGGGTTAAGAACTTTGCTTCAGGGTGAGAACAGAAATCATGCTCCAGCAGCGCAGCAGCAGCAGGAGGCCCAATTGGCTAAAGTGGTGCTTCAGGTTAAGAACAGTTTCAGGTTAGAATGGACCTCCAGAACAAATTAAGTACTTAACCTGAGGTACTACTGTACAATGAATATAGGTAATGAAATTATATGTCTCGAGTAGGCTTACCGAAATAATAATTAAAAAGTTGGTATGACCTGGTATCTACAACAATATATTTGGGGCACCTTCCTTATGTCAATATGCACCTGTGGTTGTTAATGGGTTGTTAGGGTTTCTCTGCATTTCCCTACTGACTAAGATATTCTCTGTCTCCTCCCAGGGGTATCTCATAGCCCCATGGCTTCACAGTAGTCCACTTTTTTAAAAAAATTAAATTATGTTGCATACACAAACAATTAGAACAAAACTTACAGTCATCAAATAGATTAAGTAAATAAAAGAATCAAAAATTAATAAGAAAAAGTAAAATTATAATATAGAAGAAAAAAAGGAGAAGTATGAGAGAAAAGAAGAAGAAAATAGAAAATGTGTGTGTGTGTGTGTGTGTGTGTGTGTGTAAATAAAACTAGGATAGCAGTAAATCATTCATTGTTAGACTAATATTTTAGAAACAGATTCTTAAATTAAAACACAGTAGTCCTGATGCGTCCAGTAAGGACTCTCAGTAAAGCTGTTTAGATTATAAGTTCCTCTCCCCTCTTTCTCCTTTTCCACCACTCCTCTATTCCAGGTTTGCCAGGGTGTCTGCTGCACCAAGACTTTAGCTCTTTTTCATGCACTATACAGTGGTACCTTGGTTCTCAAACTTAATCTGTTCCGGAAGTCCGTTTGACTCCCGAAACTATTCAAAAGCCAAGGCGTGGCTTCCGATTGGCTGTAGGAGCTTTCCGCACTCAATCAGAAACTGCGTCAGATGTTCGGCTCCGAAAAATGTCCACAAACCGGAACACTTACCGTATTTTCGCTCTATAGGATGCAATTTTCCCCTCCAAAAATGAAGGGGAAATGTGTGTGCGTCCTATGGAGTGAATGCAGGCTTCCCGCCGGGCTCCCAAGGCTTGCGGATAGCAGCCTGCAGTTCTTTATTCCTCCCCCCAAAAAACTAGGTGCGCCCTATGGTCCGGTGCGCCCTATAGAGCGAAAAATACGGTACTTCTGGGTTTGCAGGATTTGGGTTCCGATTTGTTCGACAACTAAGCCATTCGAGAACCAAGGTACCACTGTGCATTATTACTTTTTCATCCACCCCAGGCCCCTTTTGAACCCCTTTTGACCTCCAGATCTTTATTCACCGCTGCACAGCTCCATTAACCTTGAAGGAAACCCTGGTTTAAACCTTCCCAACACGGGGTCATATCTAATGTCAGTCCAACTCTGAGTAGACCTATTGAAATGAATGACAGCAACTATCTTGGCTCCATTTGTCTCAGTAGGTCTACTTTGAGTTGGACTACAGCTCAGTCCTACTCAGAATAGACCCACTCAAATCAATGGACTGCAGTTAGTCCCAGCTGGCCTACTCTGAGTAGGACTAGCATTGGATCCTACCCACTGAAACCTGACATGGTTCTGCCCTTGCATGCAATGACTTGCCAAATGCACACAAACCCATCTGTCTGTTTGAGTGCGTTTAATTTTAATTACAGACTTGCATTTTTTCCCCCTTCCTTCCTTGATCTCATCCCTCCTTTGGCCATCTCCTGTCACTGCCAATTCATGCTCTCTGGCGCATCCATCTGGCTCAGAGCTCTGCGCTACAGGCTCACAAACTCTGAGATCTGTAAAACCCCAGTAATTGGCGGGCGTTTCTAAAGTCTTGTGAGACGAGGCAAAACTTCCCTGTCAAACTCTTCCTCCCCTTTCGCTGTGCCCCCCCCCCCCGACTTCTCTGTAAAAGTTGCCGGTTGAGTTGAGTTCGCCTCGGCATGGATGTACTGTTGAATCTTTACAGCTCTGCTTCCTACACAGTGGCTGGTTTTTATTATAAAGGTTTACAAGATCAAGCCCTTTAAGGCTCACGTGGCTTCCCTGCCTTAAATCTCTCCTTTTTCATGGCATTCATATTCCCTTCTGGTTGTGAATCATTTTTGAGCTATAAAGGATTCTGTAGCATCACGCCTGCGAAGGACACATATGAAAATGAGCAGGACTGGCTGGTGGAGCTGGGCGGGTAACCCTTGAGCTGCCAAGAATTCAGAGTAAATGAAAATGTTGCATATTCATACGTTGCTTTCAGGTTAGACTGCTACTGAAACGTGCTGTATGGAGCAGCCCCTGTGTTAACGGAAAAATCTGAGGGCTCCCTTGGACAAAAAACAAAGACACCAACCAGGATAACTTGGAGCAAAACAGCAGCCTGTAGGCTTGGCCTTTATTGATCTGTTGCAACAGGGTGCTCCCCTCACCTGCAGGAGAGAGGAGGGACCTAGAAAAATGGTGTGCAAGGCCTTATAAAGACTTTTGAAATTGCCACCCTGTAGATCAAGACCACCCCCAGAAACATCATACATACATTACAGAAGGGGTGTAACCTAAGACCACCCCTCAGATACATCACACCTACATCACAGAAAAGGCGATCTAAAACAGAAATTTTAATATTGTTTTTCTCCTGTCCTTGTTTATCTCCTGTCTGGCAGGTTACTTGATTGGATTTCCTGGGTAGCCTGGCCAGTCTTTTGTAATGATAAATACTTAGTTCCTGGGCCATGTCACAGGCTCACACCCTATTCATATCTTAAATGTGCCCTTAAGACAGGATTTGTGAAGGAAAAGACAATGGGGAGGCTTTTCCATTTTGACCTTGCAGAGGAAACATTTGCTCAGTTTAGGAATCAAAATGGTTCCAGGTTGGTCTTCCTGTGCTGATCTATGTATGTGCTTGGTTGATACACTTATGAACATTATCATATATCTAAGACCATAAAATTCCTATCACACCTGGAAAGTGTCTGGGAATTGCAGTTGGTGCAAAAGGAGGCAGCAAGGCTGCTGCTGAGAGCCCAATCATATGGCAATATATTGCAGGAGCAGGGAGCCTGAGGCCTTGTGGCCAGACAGAACTGTCAGGGATGTGTATGGTTGCTCACGAGTAAACAGCCAGGACTCCGACCTGCCTTTTTACCATGTTGATATAAGAAGTAGAGACCCCAGATGAATGTTTTTATTCTTTTAATAATGTTTCAATGTTTCACCTTTAACTTTTTAGAATATTTTAGGCTTGATTTTTGTGTGTTCTCCCTCCTATGTTGCATTGAATCTCTCCTTATCTACCCCTGAAAGTGATACAAATGGCAGGATGTTTTAGCACTGGAGGGTAAATCAGCTATCCTTGAAGCTATCTGAGACCCAGGAAGAGGATTTTATGATGCTCTATCCGTCCCATTGAAGGCTAGGTTGCCAGGGCAATGTCAGACATCCAAGACCTAAAATGGTCAAATGATATGGGCACATCGGGGCCACTCCAAGGTGATTGTGGGGTTGAAGATACCAGTATGGAGCCATGGGTGTTTTACTTCTCATGACCTGTAACATTTCCTGACGTATGTGAGGATGTTTTATGACTCTTCGTTTGAACTGCTATATAAGCTTTTGTTCTGAAGTGCCTTGGGGCAGACCTTCTACACTGGCAGGTTGAGATGAGTGAGCTCTGTCCTATTGCAATAACTATAACAAGCACTGGGTTCCTAAATCTGGATGCTGGACTTGAAAATAATTTCCTTGGTTCTGTGGTTTATTCAAAAGGTTGGTTGTTCCTCACCTGGGTAACAAACAAGGTGGTATAGAGGTGAATTCTTACCACAATGTACCATGCACACTGACTATGTTTTCCCCTCCTCTCTCTTCCTTCAGCACCAATGCTCCACCCTCTGAGATCATGCAGATTGATTTTGAAATAGAAGATCTTAGTGAATTGCCAGACACCCAGCTTATTACGTGGCAAGTCGAGTATCCAGGAGACAGAACATCTGACCTTGGCATCTCCAAGATCTACGTAAGCCAGAAAGATCTAGTTGGTGTTCTTCCATTGGCGATGGTAAGAGAAACCGTTTACTGCCCCGGTACTGTTTAGTGTGCAAGCACAGTTGTAGACCATATTGAACAGAAATGTGACCATTTTCACATCTGTACTTTCTGCAGTCTGGCGTTATGGAATTCAGTTGAGCATTAGGATAAAGATCTTGACAGCATGAGCAATTTGATGATGGAACCCGTTACCTAGTGAGGTAGTTAGTTCTTGTTGACTGGAGGACTGCAAGCAAAGGCTAGCCGGAGAATGTTCTAACTCTGGATTTCCAGAATTGAATGGGGTGTCGGAACAGGCAGCTTAAGAGACTCTCTCCAGATCTAGAATTCTATGATTCCACTAGCCATGGGTGGGAAATGGGAAGGTGTCCCCTTCTGCTATCTGCCCACCATCAAAGCCTTGCTTACAGGGGTCATGGAAGATCTTGCAGAAACCTGGAAGTCACTCCTATAGCCTCTTCTCATTTTTCCAGCAGTGGTGGGCAGGGTGCCACCACCCTTTAGACTCTGCCACCCAAGGTGGCTGCCTCAGTCCACCTCATGGACGGGCCAATCCTGCCACTAGCTGTGAATGCAAAAGTCAATGGTCTACATACAGCGTACAGAAGACTGTGTAAAAGTGTGTCAGGCTATGGAAGATATCTGTCTCTTGTGTATAGTTTATGTAATTCCACGTTCAGGCGATTGGTCCAAACATAATCCCAGTGGATTAATCCCAATATGGGCAATTTGGGAGCTGCCCCAATAACCTCAGCATGCTCTCCCCCAGCCCCCACCCACCTGCCACCAGCTCCTGCCAGTCAGTGTAAAAAATACTGATGTGTTAGGAAACTCCCTATTCCCCTCACAGAGCTACAATTTCCAGAGTCCTCAGAGAAGAGTGTTTGACTGTAAAACCACTTTGGGAATTGTAGCTCTGTGAGGGGATTAGGGAGTCTCCTAACTCATCTCAGCAACCGTAAGCGACGACAGTCCTCAATATTCTTCGGGAGGAAGCCATGGCTGTTTAAAGTGGCCTGATACAGCTTTGAATGGGTAGTGCAGATTGCTGGAAGAACAGACCATGAAAAGATTGAACACTTGGCATTGTTCAGCAGTTTCTAAAGGCTGTGAAATCAAATCCCTCTTTTTCATAACACCACATACAAGGATGGCTCTGTAATTGTGGGGCAGGCGAGGGAGTTGTTTAATAAACGGGCTTTTTGACCGTGGCTCATTGGACAAGACAATTGGACGCCCCTCGTTCTCTCTAGTGTGTTCTTTGGCCCCAAATTACTGTGCTGGCTGGAACAAGGGATATCATCTTCCAAGATGTTTTATGCCTGGAGCTTACTCTTTGACCCATTTATTAAAAATATTGACACATGTTATTATTTGGAAAGAGGGGAAAAATAGACTATATGGGGGAGAGAGATAATTAATATTTGAGTAAAATTTTTTGGGGGGAGGTAAATAATAGGAGCCAAGTGGTTGCCTAGTGACAAGCAGTTAATTATTATACCATTAGTCAAGGTTGAAGAGTGGTTTGTGCCATGGCTTTAATCTGCCAATTTCAGAGGAACTCGCATGTCACCTTGGCACTTAATGGTGCCAAATGCTATTGCATTTCTCTCTGATAGCTGTATTTTTACTTTTATTTTTTAAAAAAGAAACAAGAACAACACAAGACTCTTTTCTTGTCTGCTGGGTTACCGAATAGAATTGAAAAAGATAACTCTGCAATCAGGGTGTCAGAAGGTGAAGAAGTGAGAACACGCGGCTTTAGATCAGGGGTGTTAGGAAACTATTTCTTTCCTGGAGGGGGGCCACATTTCCTTCCAGGCAGCCTTCTAGAGGCCACATGCCAGGGGTGGGGAGAGACAAAAGCGGGCAGTGCAGCCAATGTAATTTTTTCCTTACACACAAACTCCCACACCTCTGTCCTCCCTCCAGGCCAGCTAGAGACATTATAAGAGTTCAAGGACACATTCCAGCCAGGTGAAAAACACTGAAGGTGGGTGGAAAATACATGGGGGTGGTCCTAAATGAAGAGGACAGGCGGGAAGCATTTGGCCTCCAGGCTGTAGGTTCCCCACCCATGATTTAGATGGGGCATCCTGGAGCCCTCTAGATGTTGTTGGACTACAGCTCCCATCATCCATGACCCACTGCCTGTGCTGGCTGATGGGAGTTGGAGTCCCCAGCATCATCAGAGCCACAGCTCCTGTTTCAGATCGATGCTTTGCTCAGCCCCCTGTCTCAAGTCATTCTAGGGTGCTGGTTGTTTGATGTGGTTGATGGTGGCTCCCCATTTGCAGAATGCAGAGAGGCTCTCCTGGCACCATCATTACCTGCCTTCAGGTGCCAGTCAAAAACTCTATAACCTTTGAGAAGCAGATGGGGTGTTTGCAATGTATTTTTATTTCCTCTTGATTTTAATGTATCTAAAGGTAAAGGTAAAGAGACCCCTGACCATGGCCTACTCTGGGGTTGCGGCGCTCATCTCACTTTATTGGCCGAGGGAGCCGGTGTACAGCTTCCAGGTCATGTGGCCAGCAGGACTAAGCCGCTTCTGGCGAACCAGAGCAGCGCACGGAAACGCCGTTTACCTTCCTGCTGGAGCAGTACCTATTTATCTACTTGCACTTGATGTGCTTTTGAACTGCTAGATAGGCAGGAGCAGGGACCGAGCAACGGGAGCTCACCCCGTTGCTGGGATTCGAACCACTGACCTTCTGATCAGCAAGTCCTAGGCTCTGTGGTTTAACCCACAGTGCCACCCGTGTTCCTTTAATGTATCTATGTGGGAATTATTGTCTGTTTGGCACTTTGGGCTGCCCTGGGCAGGAAAAAACAACTTGCAAATTTAATAAATAATAAATGCTAACCATAATAATGTGTTGTTAAATCTTCCTAACCTCCAGGGCAGCAAGCAGTTGGGTATTAAAAAAACCCTTCTGCTTTAACTTTATTTCATTTCCTTACAGCAAAATGCGTGTTTTGCTGTGACTGCTTTGTCCCTTCGCCTTCCACAGCCCTTCTCTTTAGTGTTTGCTCTCTCTTTTATCTTCATACCTGAGGATTATTGAGATGCAAGAGGTGGAACCAGATGGCAGCAGCTGTTGATGTTCTGGCGCTCGGTTGATCCCCACCAGAATTGTTGGCCGATGATAATGAATGGGGGGGGGATCTTGATATGGTTTGCAACCTTCCTGCATTAACAGTGGATAAACACACCAAGGTTGGGACATTCAGGTCAAATTTACTGTCTGCAAAGGTGTGTTTTGCTCAGATAAATCACTTCCAGCTGCTGGAGATAGAGCTGAATTATGATGGCCTGCTCAACTTTAAGACAAATGGCCCATTGTTTTAAATTGGAGGACATCTTGGCACGGTGATGAGTACATAGATAGAAACTGCGGGTCTCTTTCCCCATCATATTGACAAGATCTCTTGTTCCTTTACTAAGAGGAGGCTATACTACCAATAAAAAGTACCCCATTTGGACTACAATTCTATCTGGAATGGGTGGGAAACATTATTTCATCCCAAGGGCCACAGTCCCTTCTAGGCAACCTTCCAGGGGCCATATGCCAGTGGTGGGCAGAGCAAGAGACAAACGTGGGGGGAGTGATTTAATTTAAATGTTCCCTTTGTACAGCAGGCCTGATACCGCGCACACTCACACACACTTTTCTCCAGGGCCGGCCCAAGACATTTTGGCACCTGAGGTGAACCACTAAATGGTTCTCTCCCCACCAGTGAAGAAGGCCTGGATGAAGGAGTGAATGAAGGTCTACATCAGGAACACAGGGGAATAATGATTTACATCGGGATCTGCTGCCTCTGTGGATCCTTCCACCTGAGGCGGTCGCCTCATCTTGCCTAATAGGTGAGCCAGCCCTCCATCGTGAAAAGGAAGAAGCCTTATCAGAGTTCAACAACTCATTCCTGCCAGGAAAAAAACTCACTGTGAGGTTGTGAAGCAAGGACCAGTGAAGGTACGCCATGCAGAGAGTTCTGAGGGCCAGGTAGAGACGTGTGGAGGGCCACATCATGTCCCTAGACCTGAGGTTCTCCGTCCATGTTACAGACATTTCTCTAGAGGCAGGTGCCTTTGAGCTAGATATGCCAAGGATTGCACTATGAACCATATTTATTTCCTATTCGGGGACTTTCTCTAGACCACACACCTCTATACCATCTTTCAGAGTTGGTACGTGTGCCTGAAGTGCACATGTGCTCAAAGTGTAATGGAGCCACTTTCTTGCCTGGTGGGAGAGATCTGTGCATATAAACCTCTGATTTATACTGTGCAAAGGTAGACAGTTCCTCCACCCATTTTTCCCCCTTTTGGTCCCACCTAATACCTCATGTGGCCATTGAAAGGCTTGACTCAGCATTAAATCACACAGAATAAGCGAAGTTACCTCTTTATTTTAAGAAACAAGGTGTGCTCAAGAGTGCCAGGGCTAATGAGAATAGCAGCTCTTCTCAGTAGGTCTTGCCCCTATGAGACAGTTGTGGATGCTGAAGTTCCCCAAAGCTACCTAAGTCTCCTTCTCCCCCAGGTCCTTCCCAAGCAATTTGAGACGACGCCGGCATGTCTGTCTTGGGTCCTCCCACTTCATAACTCTCCTGGTCCTGTCGCAGCAGTGGGGAGAGATGCCCTAGCTTCTTCTGCCATAGACTCTGCCTGCTCACTAAACCCTGTTACCTCTTCAGCTTCCGACACCTCCTTCTCTCCCCTGCTATATGGAGCTGAGGGTCCCATCCCATTGCATTATCTCTTGTAATATATAAATGTTGTCTGCTTTGCAAATGTATTATCCTTTCAGAACCATGCTATATAGAAACATTGCATTTACAGTATATGCTTTATTGGTGAATCACTTCCCACAAAAGATCTCGAAGTGATTTCATAACGAGAGCAGCAATAATGAAAGCAATTGAAAACAATTCCACATGGAGAAAAAATTCATATCCAATACAGATATCGCTTGCTGAAAAAGGTCTTTAATACATTGACCCAAAGTACAGTTAGCTATCCTTTAAAATTCACACTTCTCTGAATTTTTGCCAGCTATGTAATGCATATAGTGGGGGAAATGATCATTAAAAACATATATTAGTGGATATTGTTACAAAAATGCATTATATTAGAGTAAATTGCTTACCCAAATGTGTATATTAGTCAAAACTGCATACCCAAATGTGCTTAGGAGAAATTTGCACTAAAACACCAACTAATTTTCTTGGGATTTTTTAAATTGCCAAATTACTGCAGAAATGTATAGGACTGCATGTGAGTTTGGAAAAATGCTAAATGTTGAGTATTGAAACTGTCAGCACCTTCCAACTTGCTGGGCTTCAACCAGCACATCGACTGGCCTCAGGAATGGTCCCAATTTCTTCTTTCTTCCTGCATTGCAAGTTGTGCTCAGGCCTTTCGCATCTCCTTGGCACCAACAGCGCGATTCACATTTCAGCCTTGATAAGCAAGCCTTGTTCTTTGCAGGATAATTAAGGTTGCTGGAAAACAAAGCCAAGCCAGCTGGTCATTCAGCCAAATTGAGAGCTTTCTTTCTTTCTTTCTCCCCCGCCATCCCCTACAGACAAGTGGATTTTTTGTTCTTTCGATCTTTATCAGTGCAAATTCCCAGCCGGGATTTATTTTGTTCTCTTTCCCACTCACCCCTCATTTGTGGCAGGGTATTTATTGATTAGTTTTCTCATTTTCCCCACCTCATGCAGCCCCACACACTTTCACTGAACGGACCGGGGAGGTTTGCTTACAGTGCAATTGATGGAAAACGAAAATTAACCTCGTTACTAATTAATTGGAGGCATGCTGGGAGGAGGATTTGAACCTCAATTAACCATGTGCAGAGCCAAGATTGGCCCTTGCCTAGGCAAGGAGCGAGGGTTGTAAATTCCGCTTCTGTGTGTGTGTGTGTGTGTGTGTGTGTGTGTGTGTCCCACTTTCCTTTTTAACTTTTGTTGCTTCTGAGCCCAAATGAACGAACAATACAGTCGTACCTTGTAAGTTGAGCGGAATCTGTTCCAGAAGTACGTTCAACTTCCAAAACGTTCAGAAACCAAATTGTGGCTTCTGGTTGGCTGCAGGAAGCTCCTGCAGCCAATCAGAAGCCACAGAAATCCCATCAGATGTTTGGGTTCCAAAAGAACATTCGCAAACTGAAACAATCACTTCTAGGTTTGCGGCGTTCAGGAGCCAAAGCGTACGAGTTCCAGGGCATTCAACAACCAAGGTGTGACTGTACTGTTTTTTATTTGTTTTTTTGGGTAGCAACTTTCAAGTACTTTCCTACCACTTCGCAAGTATTATTCTGGTTTGAAGCATCACTTCTGAACTGACCCCTTTCTAGGGATGGGAGAGAAAGGTGTTTGGTCTGCTTTTCAGCATCCAGTGATCCCAGAATGTTTGCAAGGAACAGAGCTCAGCTTCTAACTGGCACTTCTCCAGGTTCCACTGTGCATTTTCAGCGTGTGAAACATGCTCATAGCATTATGAGCATTTAACGACTTTAATATTAAAAAGATGCTTGCAGTTGCAGCCAGGAAGTGGCGGCATGCAATGGGTTCGAACAGGATAGAATTGGTGGATCATCTCATCCCTCCCCTTTGTGTTTCCAAAAAGAAAGAAAGGTTTCACTCCAGAAAGGGAGAAGGGATGCACATTTGCATTCCATTTGCATATGTTAATTTATATGTGCAGGTGGAAAAGTAGGCAGGATTACTCATTTAAATAGAATTGCAAAATACAACTCCCCCTAGTGGGGAAGACTGTGACCAGATGAGCTCTGTAGCTGCTCAGTGTGCTATACAAATGCTACCTGCTGGTGGGCAGCTGCAAGGCACCTGCTGCTCTCCCTTCTTAGGCTTCTTTAGCTTTAAATCAGACTGGGTAGCATCTTTTCCAGAAAAGTCCTCCAAATAGGGAACTGTCATCTTTAAAGTTGTTCAGCATTAAAGCATTTGCTTTGCACACAGAAAGGGACACGGGTGGCGCTGTGGGTTAAACCACAGAGCCTAGGACTTGCCGATCAGAAGGTCAGCGGTTCGAATCCCCGCGACGGGGTGAGCTCCCATTGCTCTGTCCCTGCTCCTGCCAACCTAGCAGTTCAAAAGCACGTCAAAGTGCAAGCAGATAAATAGGTACCACTCCGGCAGGAAGGTAAACGGTGTTTCCGTGCGCTGCTCTGGTTTGCCAGAAGCGGCTTAGTCATGCTGGCCACATGACCCGGAAGCTGTACGCTGGCTCCCTCGGCCAATAAAGCAAGATGAGCACCACAATCCCAGAGTCAGCCATGACTGGACCTAATGGTCACGGGTCCCTTTACCCTTTACCTTTACCTTGCACACAGAAGGTCCCAGGTTCAATCGCAGGCATCTCTGGGAGAGAACTTAAACTCTGGAGAGTGACTGCCAGTCAGTGTCAGCAATGCTGTGGTAGCTGACCAGTGACAGCTTCCTACATGGCCACCTTGCTTACAACAACCCCATAAGGGTGGCCTGCATAATTATTCCCATTTTGCAGATGGAAAAGCTGAGGACACCGGCTGAAAGACACAGGTTTGCCCGCCGCTGAGTTTATGGAAGAGGTCAGGTGATCTATAGCCCAGGCAGTACCTTACGTAGGATTATGAGATAACAGGAAAGAAAGTTGACCTACGAGCATGGATCACTCAAGCCAGCTCACTTGTGTCTTTGGTAGAAAATTCCAAGTTGATATCAGAAGGAAGGCAGTCCAAGTCAAAAGGACATGAGTTAGCTCACTGGTAGAGTCTCTGATTTGCATGCAAAAGGTCCCAGGTTCAAGCCCAGGCATCTTCACTTAAAATTTAGAAGGGAGCAGTTGGTGTGAAAAGCCCTTCTCTGCCGGAGATATGCTGCCACTCAGTGTAGACTATACCAGGTTAGATGAGCACAGAGTCTGTGCCTGATGTAGCGTGGAATGAAAGAACTACTTTTTCTCTGTCTTGAATCTTCTGACACTGGTCACATTATCAATCCTTCGATTATTAAACCAATATATCCTTACCTTATCCCCCCACCACCACCCACATGCTGCAGTTAGTGCTGGTGGGGCCCCCAGAAAATTAGCTTGATTAGTTGTATTTGGTCCTTATCAGGTGGAGACATCACCTTGATGACAAAGGTCCGTATACTTAAAGCTATGATTTTCCCAGTAGTGATGTATGGAAGTGAGAGCTGGACCATAAAGAAGGCTGATTGCCAAAGAATTGATGCTTTTGAATTATGGTGCTGGAGGAGACTCTTGTGAGTCCCATGGACTGCAAGAAGATCAAACCTAGCCATTCTGAAGGAAATCAGCCCTGAGTGCTCACTGGAAGGACAGATCCTGAAGCTGAGGCTCCAATACTTTGGCCACATCATGAGAAGAGAAGACTCCCCAGAGAAGACCCTGATGTTGGGAAAGATGGAGGGCACAAGGAGAAGGGGACAACAGAGGACGAGATGGTTGGACAGTGTTCTTGAAGCTACCAATGTGAGTTTGACCAAACTGCGGGAGGCAGTGGAAGACAGGAGTGTCTGGTGTGCTCTGGTCCATGGGGTCACGAAGAGTCGGACACGACTAAATGGCTAAGCAACAACAACAAGGTGTGTGTTCTGGAAAGGGAAAAGGTTGGCACCCTGAGACACTTATCAGGTGAACATTGTGGTTCTAGAAACTTGCATAAAGGGCCCTGGGAGCCACAGGGCAGGGTGTGGATTACTTCCAAGGATAAACCGCATCACTCCCTGCGAGTTGCAGGCGCGTGGATTGGGAAGACCTGCAAGAAGTGTGGCAGGGAGAAATTGGTGTAGTTTAACACTACCTGATCACCCTGCAAGTTAGGTTTACCTGATCACTGCCAGCTTGGGAGCCTGACAGAGGACTGAATATTTCCTGCACATGGTTTTCCCAGTCCGGTTCAGAAATTCTTGATGATGTTGCAGTTTAATAAAATGGCCCTAGTTATACTCCATGCCATCTGACTTACCTCTTTGTTTCAGGTCTCTTGACACAAAATGAATCAACCTCAGAGGTTGTTTGGTTCTGCAGGGTCCCCCCACTCATTTCCCCCCTAAAGGGTAAAAATCCTTTCCTAGTAAGTCAACTGAGCGAGCAAACACCTTTGTGCATAAACTAACCTTTAGCTTCATAGATCTTTAAAACATTTGTTTTCACGCTAGGCAAATAATTATGTAATTATCCATTGGGGGTTTAAAAACTTCCAATGTGTCTAGTGTCTGGCAGATGGACTTCCACAATGACGATTTTACCAAAGACAATGTATTCAGACGTTCTAGTTATGAGAGGCCACTTTTGGAAAGGATGGAAATAGAAGGGTCCGTTTTAAATACAGGCTTCTAAGAGGAGAAGGAGGGATGCGGGTGGCGCTGTGGGTTAAACCACAGAGCCTAGGACTTGCCAATCAGAAGGTCAGTGGTTTGAATCCCCGCAATGGGGTGAGCTCCCGTTGCTCGGTCCCTGCTCCTGCCAACCTAGCAGTTCGAAAGCATATCAAAGTGCAAATAGATAAATAGGTACCACTCCAGCGGGAAGGTAAACGGTGTTTCTGTGCGCTGCTCTGGTTCACCAGAAGTGGCTTAGTCATGCTGACCACATGATCCGGAAGCTGTACGCCGGCTCCCTCAGCCAATAAAGTGAGATGAGCGCCGCAACCCCAGAGTCGGCCACGACTGGACCTAATGGTCAGGGGTCCCTTTACCTTTTAAGAGGAGAAGGTTGTCTTCAACTAAATAGCATGACGATGATAATGATAATGATATTGATAATGATGATAACTACTACTACTAAATAGTACTCAGAGTGGACCTATTGAAATCAATGAACCCAAGTTAGTCATGTCTATGAACTTGAATGGGTCTACTCTGAGAAGGACTAACACTGAATAACACCCAGAAAAGAAACATATATCACATTATATTTCATCAGCGTTATTCCTACACTGCCTTTCCATAGCAAGCTATGTTCAAAGCTCCTCACAGCATCAGAGCATTTAACATAATTCACTAACAGTTGCAAGACAGAACATAATTTGTACAGCCATATGAACAATGCACTAATGGAAACATCTCAAATTAACAAATGTGCAATAAAATTTAACAATCCTCTGATAATTCACAATAAGTTCCAACAAAAAAGGGTAAGAACATGATATAGGTGTATAGTAAAAAAGAAGAAGAAGAATGCATCTCCACAACTCAAATCTTTCCCCCAAAACAGCCCCTAAACCACTTTGGTGGTCCCAAGACGTCAAGAACAGCAGAAGCAGACTTTGGAGCTTTACGCAATCAAGTCCTGACCCTCCAGACCAGGTGGAAATGGTCCAGACAAGCAGATCTTGCAGGGCTCACAGGACCTTTCTTCCTTTCTTCGTTCTGATGCCAGTCACTGCTTTCTTCCCATAAATTTGAAATCCTTTCAGGAGACAGTCAGGAGTAGAGTGACCGCTTATGCATCACCAAGCGAGAGGACAAGAGAAGGCTCAGATATGCACAGAATCCTAGAAAATTGCTGTGACCTACAATACTTCCGATAGCACAGCTGTTGTGCTGGATTTCGTATTGCACAGCAATCATTTTCACCCTTACCCTAGCATGACGGCCCTTCTGCTAAGAGGTCAGAGAACATCAAATCTGGCCCAAAATTTCCAGTATGTGCCTGAATCCCTCTTGCAAAATGCTGGCAACCTGGAGGTAACCTGTGAGCTGATCTGTCTAACTGGAGAAACGGCAGGAACTGAACCTGGGATCTTCTGCATGAAGAACCCCTGACCTAAGGCTCTTCCCCATTGTAATAGAGAAATGAATAGGTCACCCAGAGAGTTTGGGCTACAGCTCCTGCTATTCCACATTGGATGAGGCTCTTGGAGTCCTGATTATTTGGTAGGCACCATGCTGGGGAAGGCTGGAATTAGGATGGGAGAGAAATTTGATTCAGCTTGCATGGAAAGTTGAACCTGCCCAATTTGCACTTTCTGAAACAATCCTGCAAGTGAAACAAAAAAGCTATCTTTTGAAAATTCGCATTTCTCCCAGTTTTGCAGTGCAGTTCTCCGGCCCCATAATGTGTATAAAAATGCCTATAGTTGGGGAAAGTGTGCATAAAAAACTGTATACCAGTGAAAATAATGTGCAGAATTTATATTAGGAGAAGTTTTATTAGAAAGCTGGTGAATTTTCATGAGGACTTAAAAAAAATCAAATCGCAAGCAGTTGTAGAGAACTGAAGACCAGGAAACTGAGAAAAGAAAACTGGGCAGATTTCCTCATTCTCAGCTGTAATATGCCTTAACTTTGCAAGAATGCATTACCTCCATCTCCTGCTCCTCTTTAAGATTCGTACAACAATGTTTTCTTTTAGAAATACAAGAGTCTGGCCTGCAATGAGAACCTCCATTGCAACCCTGAAAGTTCATCAGCAAATTTAACTACAGACCTTTCACTGCCTCTGCTAAAATGTGTCCTTTCCATTCAAAGTGGTCCCATCAAAGGAAGACAACCCCATCACCACAAAAAATCCTGTGACTTTTTCCATCTTCTTATTCCATCTTTTGGCGTGGGGACAGTACCACTTGGGGTCATCCCAGAAGATTAAAACCTCTTCCCGAATTATTTATTTACAAGCCCTGACAATCTTCTCCAAAACGGATTTGAACAAGTGTTTAATTGGATAATTTGGCAACGAGTGAGCCAGACCCCCAGAGATATGGAATTACACTTGCTTAAGAAAAAGGTCGTTCTTCGTGTAGAATTAATTTGATTTCATCTAGATTACAAGCAATAACCAGAGTAGTCAACGGAGGAATTATTATCCTGACTTTTAGTATCTTTCTTTTAACTGGGGTGTGTGGGTGGGGAGTAGGTGCGGTGGCACAGATAGACTTATTCATTTGTTCGTTCTGCTTTTGGGGGCTGGTCCTTCGACTGAGATCAGGCCCTCTTGAGAGTGTTTGCAAATGCAACAAGAAAACATTAGTACCCCATAAAAGCAAATGATATGGGCAGAAGGCATAAAAACTATCTTAAATAGCCATGCAGAAATAAAGCAAAAAAGGATCCCCACCCCCAATAAGCACTATCCTGTCAAAAGTCCTGAAGCATGTTTCGGTTTGGATTGTCAGGTTCTGATGCAGGAAGAAGAGAATAAATTGGGGGGGGGCTGAATAATAGGAACCTGAGTTGAAAGAGGGCAGATCTGCCCTGTCCACTCCAACCTCAGTCACTTGGGAAGAGGGAGCAGGGATGCCAGGTCTCCTGAATTTCTTACAGCGCAAAGAGGCTTGGGAGAGCTTGGAGTTGTCAACGGTGGGGGCAGAACTGGAAGTGTCAATGGCTGAACAGGAGGCTGAACAGGTGGGTGCAGCCTTGTCACCTCAAACCAAGTGCTACCTTCCAGACGGGAGGGGATCCACTGTCAGGATTGTCCTACACGCGAGTAGGAACCCGGCAGAGACACATGCCCAACTGGCATGTTCTCTCCCTCCTGGTCGATCGTTTGGGAGCTTCAAAGTCTTTCTCCAGCCTGAACATCACAGCGACTGATACCTCTGAGGGAATCAGCACATTTCAGGATTCTGCAGAGTATTGGCAGTTCAAGTGACAGACGCCGCAGCACAGCATTTTGGCTAAACTACTTTATTTACATACAATACACTTGGAGCATTCTGACTCATCTCCTTCCTCTTTCTCATCAGACAGCAAAGAGAGAGAACAAAGGACAATAGTCCTACATCACGGAACACAGTAAAACATAACATCCTGTCTCCGTCACTTCCCACACTGTGGAATGAAAACATATA